TTTTTTTTTTTTTTTTTTTTCCCCCCCCCCTTTTTTGGTGAATTGATTTCCTACTTGGGAACGTGGAGGACCGGGGCGAGCATTAGGGCATACTCACACTCAGTGCATAGTCACACAAGAACTAACTTTAATGCATCTGAGCACATTTACGGCCCGACCTGGATGAATCTGGATGGAATTGTACCCAAAATAAGTTAAAAAGTTGCTGTGTGAGTATGCCCTTTAGACAGGGATTTTCGTGCACGTACATGACCGCCATCGCGGCCAGATTCCGTCCATGAACTCTGTGTGTGTGTGTATGCATATCACTTCAGCCGTTGCAGGTGAACAGGTGAACATGGCGGCCGTGCAGGCAATCACTCAAATTTACCTGTGTGTGTTTCAGGCCATACTCACACTACAGTCTTCCCCCGAACAGCACCCCGATCATGAACGTATACAAGCTATGTTTCCGGTCAGGGACAGCCAAAATGAGGGTGCGCTTTGTCTGGCGGAACGGATAGCACTTTTCTCAAAGTAACCTTACTGCAGTCACGTCCAGATTGCAGTTGAAAAAGTCGGTCCATGTCAAAAACAAAAAGAAACACTTGTGCGAATGCCCTCAGATGCTTCGCCGGCTGCTGTCAATCCTGGGATCGGGCCTTTGTTTTTTTTTTTGTTTTATTTTTCCGGGTTGGTAGGGGGGAGAGATCGGCCTTTCGATCGAGGTCTGTATATGCGGGTTTTATTTCCTTTTTTTCCTTCGGTTTTCCTTTCTGGAGCAAGGTCCCATTAGCAAAGAGGATTGGATTAAGCTCCTGAATCTCGACGTGTTCTGAGCAGAGATGCAGAAAAGCTGTTCAATCTCGAATTTCTGCACTTATCCAGGAACACCTCTAGATTCCGGCGTTCAATCCAATCCATTGTTGCTAGTGGGACCTCGCCCCTGATGTGTATGCTCGTGTGTGTGTGTGTGCGTGCGTTGTTGTTCATTTAAAAAAAAAAAAAAAAAAAGACTGTATGAGGATGTGCTATTTCGAGTGCCGTACCGATGTATGTACGTGGTATGTGATGTATTCCTTCCTGGGGCCAAGTTGCAGCGCGCGCTGTGCGGCAGGCAGGTACGGGACAGACAGGGAGGTCAGACTGACAGGCGGAGGGCAGGTTTCGCAGGCAGGCGTAGACAGGGATGACAGGCAGGAGTAGGCAGGGATGGCAGGCAGGTAGAGGGAGAGAGAGAGAGAGAGAGGTTCCCAAAAAAAAAAAAGAAAAAAAAAAGAGAGAAAAAGAAAAAGAGAGAGAGAGAGGGAGGCTGCGGCGGAAGCAGGTCGCGGTACGGTAGTGCTCTTTGCTCTTTGAGTTTTGTTTTTTAATAATTTAATTGTCATTTGGATTAAAAATAAAGATGTTGAGATTCCTGTGGTAGGTTAGTGGGTAGGCCACGGTAGAAAAGCGGGGCGAGGGTATGGGCTAAGCGCAGAAGGCGACGGGGGAGCGGGCGGGGGAGAGGGCGGGCGAGAGGGCGGGCGCGAGTGAGGGCGCGTGGAGCGGGTGGAGCACGGGGAAAAAAAATGAAATTGACCGCAAGAGTCGGCAGACGAGATCGCCCAAAAACACACACACACAAAAAAAAAAGCAAACGGGATCGGTAAGCGGTAAGGGAAAAAAAAGGAAAAGGACGGGTGTGAGTTGACGACAAAGGGGGGGAGGAGGTGGCGGAGGTGGGGTGCTGATCTGCCGCAAAACACTATGGCAGGCTGGAGGCAGGGCAGGCGGGCGGGTCAGCAGCCAGCCGAGTGCGGTGCTGGGTGGGGGTGGGCGGACAGACAGGTAGGCAGAGGACAAGGGGAAAGTTTGGGAGAAAAAAACAAATCGGGGTCGGAAACGGTAGGCGGACAATGATCGCGGGAGAGGAGCGAATGCGCAAACAGCGACGTACGCGAGGAGGGCTGGCGAACAACAGGAGACCACGCGCGCGCGCAAGTGCGCCAGCATACGCGCGCGTGCACAGTCACACACACGCACACACACACACACACACACACACACACACACACAGAGAGAGAGAGAGAGAGAGAGAGAGAGAGAGAGAGAGGAGCCAAGCGTCGGGAAAAGGACAAAAGGCGGAAGAAAGACAGGAGGAAGACGGGGGAGATGAGGGGAAGAGAGACAGCGCGGCCGGCCGTAGGAACAAACGGACGGGCAGATGGATGGGATGGATGGAGAGACGAAGGAACGAGCTAGCAAACAAACAAACAAACGTGAAAAATAGGAAAGTTAAGGGAGCGCGTGGGAGAGGGAGGCGCGCGGACGGGAAAGAGGGGGTGTGAGGCACTGTGCACGCGCCAGGTGCGTTGGCGGTTGTGGAGGAGTGAATCAGTGTGCTCCCCCGCGCGCGAGCGCATGAGATCGAGCGAGCGAGCGAGTGAGCGAGCGAGCGAGCGAGCGAGCGAGAGAGAGAGAGAGAGAGAGAGAGAGAGCGAGAGAGAGAGAGAGCGAGAGAGAGAGAGAGAGAGAGAGGTGGTTGTTGGGTGGCCGAGGGGGGGGGGGGGGGGGGGGGGGGGGGGGGGGGGGGGGATGGGAGGTGCGGGGAATAGTGAGAGACAGAGATTCTGAGAGCCTGTGCGTCTCCCCGAGCATCTCCAGCCGGATGCAGAAGGAAACGACGGCATCCGCCTCGTGTGCTCTTGGCAGTGTGCTACAGTGATGCAAAGAGCGGCTCGCTCTCTAGGCCATCCTGTCGGGTCTAACTTAGTCTAGTGCACACACACAGAGAGAGAGAGAGAGAGAGARATAGAGAGAGAGAGAGAGAGAGAGAGAGAGAGAGAGAGAGAGAGAGAGAGCGAGAGAGGTGAAGGCCGCGTGTATCTGAGAATAGAGTAGCAAGCGGAGTGACGACTGGCATGATGAGAAGTCAAAGGAGGAGATAGTTGTGGCAGATGATTAGAGGAAGGGGCCCGACTTGGCTACGGCGGTAAGGAAAGAGAATTCTGTTTTGTGTGTGTGTGTGTGTGTGTGTGTGTGTGTGTG